AAGTATTTTTTAACGTAATGAAAATTTAATTAATGATAAATTATTATCCCATATTGCATTATCAGCATGTGTTTAGAGACTGATATCGAACTGTTTCGACTATCGATAAATACTATTAGAAGTGCTTGTATAATAAATAACGTGTGGATAATATCCTTAGACGAAGAAAATCTCTTTATAATCTAGCTTTTTACTACTGCAGATATTATTACCATGCATATTTTTTCCTTTAATGTAACAGGATTTAAATTTTTATGGAATTAATCTAAATCCTATTAATGTTTCTAATATTCAATTAAAATTTATTACATTAAAAACTTTTTAAATATTATTATAAAGTTTGTGTTTATATAATCTTTTTTTTTTTCTTATCATTTAGGTCCATTCCGCTGATATCTCCTGTGCATATAGAGTATATAATATCGTATCCAGTCCTAGAAAGTATGAAAAATTTGATGCAGATCGGTCAGAGGGTTTAGGAGTTAATAGAATATAAAATTAGAGATGTCCGTACTTTATAATAGTCTCTATTTTTAATGTTGTCCCTAAGGAGTATGGGAATTTTGTTGTAGATTGATCAGAGGATTTGCACTAAAATCCTCATACTTTCTACGAACGAAAACGTTTCTACATCTTTAAATAAATGTTTCTCAGCAGTTATAAGATAATTACTGATTAATTAGCAAATTATTAATTAGTTAATAGGGGTTGAAATCAGGGAAACGTGGGATGTCTAGGTTTAATGGTAGCGTATATTTTTTGCAGGGTCCTAATGAATAACAAACGGGCATTCTTTTTAATATGTATAAACTATTATAAAGTACATTAATAGATTTTGTGAAGTAATTTTCTGAAACTTGATGACACTTAAAAACAATGTTCGTGTAGAAGTGTAGAAGATAAATATTGCGAATTAATAGAATGCAACCTTGATTCTTATGAAGGATTATCTTAAAATATCACAAAATAGTTTCGAAAATATGACCTAAATCGAACTAAAATGTATACCAAAATGTGTAAAAATCTTTAGAATTTGTGCATTATTTCACAAGTTACGAATAATTTAATTAATAAAGATTGTTAATTGCATTTTAAATTTTCAATTGCAAACCACGTGGACGAGGAGAAAGAGGAATACTCTGGAAAGAATGATGATGTTAATGATTAACTATATTAATACATTTTTATAGTTAATATTATTTTCAATAATATATGAATAAATCAGAATAAACCTACAGATGTTTAAGTCTTTCCATGAGAAATTATCCCTTGGCAGATTGCCCATGTGTTGTGTTGTCTTATAATGTGCTTTTTTTTCTGTATTTTAAGCATAACTGAAATTATAATCAATTATAAATTTTAGTTTTCCTTACTTAAAAAATTAAAATATCTAATTTTAAAAATATTTTTATGAAAAATTTCCTTTTGAAAGTTGTCATTATATAAAATTTTTCCGTCTGAAAACACTATAAATAATAAAATTTAATATAAAAAAAATCGTAGAAATAAATAAATTAAAACGAGACATAAAATTAAAGAGAATTTAATTATAGTAAATCATAAAAAAAACGAATTATTTTCGTTCGATAAATAAATAAACACACGTAAGATTTTACTAAATTTATAGTGAAAATATCAGTTCATGGTGAAAATGCGGTAGATGCTCGTTGGACAAGGAAGTCAAGGTGAGAGTGAAAATGGAAAAAAAAATAAGCGTAACCACTCTAACAATAAGCGTCCTTGCGACATTCAGCGTATTTAAACAGCAAGTAACACGTTTAAATATCATTTGTAACCGTATAGAGAAGTCGAAATTCTAGAAATTGTATTGTTTAACAATGGATGGAGGGCAGAATGTTATATTCAATATAGCTAATAATAGAGTGTCGACGATTTGGTGGCTCATACCTCTTCTGTCCATAACTGTATACACAATTCTGCTTTATTTAAGATGGCGGAAAAGTATAAAGCATTTAAGAAATCTTCCAGGTTTTGCATATACTCCTATAGAATTGACCTACGTATATTTAAACTTCATCAGTGGATGCAAAGGGATAGATCCGACTGTCTGTAAGTATTACGTGTTTTAAGATAAATATAGCCTATATAGTATAATATTCTACCATAATTTTAATGGGAAATTATAGTAGTCTCGATTATCCGGCCGAAGAGGATAAGAAATAAACCCGAATTGTGTGATGTATCTTCAACATAAATATTTCTAATTATGAAAAATAATTAGTTATACTTATCCACTAATCTTTAGATAATTATAGAAATCAATTATCTAAAGATTAGTATTATCAACTTTAATTAAAATTTGATATTTCAAATTTAAATTAACGTAATTTTAATAACAATGTCAGGTACGCTCAGTAATGAAATGAAAACAAAATTCTTCATTAATTCGCTTTCAACCGTAGGATATGATCTTAATTTTAATGTTTTTAATTAAAATTAAACCAGAAGAAGTTAAAAAGTATGAAAAGATTCACGTAAACACAGCAGCGAATCTCGGGGCTCCACGTTGACTTCAGACATTTCGAGGGAATTTTCTAGGATATTTTCTTATAAAAGACTGTCTTGGTGAGGTCTTAGGCAATTGTGCTTTTTTTAAAAGAAGAACAAGAAAACTATAAAGAGGAACAAGCTTTGTTACTGCTTGATGTTTGCACGGAATTAGCAGAATTTTAATAAAATTTTTCAAAATATTTGACATAAAAAATATTTGCAGCCGGATAACAAGGCCGGTAAAACAAAAATCGATTAATCAAAATTCGACTGTAATATGTAGTAATTTTAACTCATCATTTTGCGATTGTTACAGCCTCCACGTTCTATTCATAAGCAGAACTATAATGGCTGTTTAGTCAACTTTTGCAGAATTTTTGATTATTTCTTTTGTGTATATTCATTGATTTATCACGATGCGAAGACGGAAAGAATTAGGAATTAATTCTCAAAAACAAAATGTAAAATAAATAACTCTAGAGAAAAGAGTTCTATTTAAAGAAAAAAACAGAAATGTGCCCGGTGGAGAAGGCCATTATAGAACTCCTATAGATACCGAAAACTCTGCAAAAGAATTAAAATTGGAACACGGAACGATTACTAAATCTTGGGTAGATGGAAAAGTTAAAACGTGGGATTGGATAGAATGGAAATTGTTTGTATTGGTATATAATTGGGCATTTTTTGAGACACTCAAACGGGTTTACTATACTTCTTGCAGAAAATTTGATGGAAAACAAAGAAAATAATAGGGAATAGAATACTCGGATGACATCAAAAAGGAAAAATAGTTGCCAACGAAAGAAAACTGTTATGAAAGTATCACGTTGTCTGCCCATCAACTCATGGATTGATTGGTGGTGGATAGCATATTACTTTCCTAACCTTTTCCTTTCCGTGGGTTCAGGAAAATAAAAATATAAAAAAAATTGACAATAACAGAAAAAAGAGAGTAAACAGTTAAGAAAAACAATTATCTAAAGATTAAGTTTAATTAAAATTTAATACTTTTAAATTTTATTTAACGTAATTTTTATATCCATATTAAAAAGTATTATGTCACTTTAATATTAATTAAAATTTTATACACTAAATTGAATAAAATTTAATATAAAAAAAATCGTAGAAATAAATAAATTAAAACGAGACATAAAATTAAAGAGAATTTAATTATAGTAAATCATAAAAAAAACGAATTATTTTCGTTCGATAAATAAATAAACACACGTAAGATTTTACTAAATTTATAGTGAAAATATCAGTTCATGGTGAAAATGCGGTAGATGCTCGTTGGACAAGGAAGTCAAGGTGAGAGTGAAAANTGAGAAATTTTCTATAAAAATATATAATTCGTAGCACAAAACTCAATTAACCGAGATATATTTAAAATTATTTTTGTTTGGGAACCGCTGCATATTATCATTGTAATACAGTTGTTCAATTTCAAACGAATAATCTTTAATAAATAAATCAGCAACGAGTTGTTCAACTTTCCCGGCAACATTTAAAATTTCGGTGGCGCCATATGTTATGATATTTTATTTTAAAAAGTTTTATATTTTTAAATACTATAAAATGGCAAAACCTTAATTTTGAGGTAGAGTGGATTTTATAAAAAATTGTAAATGCTAATAACAAGTAAAATCGTCAAGTCCGACCCTACTGGAGATATACATGCATCCCATTCTCCCTACCCCCTCGAATTAATAGCATCAATCCCCCTTAATACGCAAACCTCCTTGCAAAATTTCAGACAAAAAGCACAGGGTGAACAAAATCATGCCAACCAACCAATCACCAAAATACATACACTAACATCCCAACATACAGAGAAACACTCAATTTTTTTGCATTTCTCGACATTTCAAGGTGTCCTAAGTCCAGAAAATGTAAAAAATATTGGGGAGGGAGGATCATTTTTTGACCGATCGCCATACATTCCCTCTGTTATATATAACAGCCGGGAAAGTAAGAAATACATCTCGGTTAACTGACTTTTGAGGCATCTTGTACGTTTTAAATTTTACATATCAAAAACTAAATAATTTGGGAATTTAAAATTTTTTAAATCCCAAATTTTTATTTCATTAAAAATGAAAAAAAAAATCATTTTTATAAAAATAATACTTATAAATCATTAAATATTTTTTTAACCGAAACAGGACAAAGTAATTTTTATAAGAAGAATTTCAAAATAAAATATATATAAAACAATTTAGAAAATAATAATCTTGAACTACTTTCATAGAGTTCGTTAACTCCATTTATAATAATAAATACAAAAGTATTAACCTTGACACGCATTCTAATTATACTTATGATTTTACTTTCGAAACTAGAAAGAGGTTTTTTGCTTCTTAACCGCAAATAAATTTCTTATTTTTGTTCTAAATATAAAAATAAATCTTATAAATATTAATTAAATTTATATATATACTGTATATATTTACAATAATTAACTAATTAAAAATATTTTTTTTTCCTGTTAGTGATATTTCAAGCTGGTAATGGATTCGCACATGTCTTCAATAAAGAGAAATTTATGAAGTTTTTTATAGGATTTAAACCATTTTATCTATGTTATAAAGCAGAGGCTTATGAAGTAAGTAGGAATTATGGCATAAATTATTCTATTAATATCATGTACGAACACAAAATATTCAATAATATTTCAGGCTGTTATAGGAAATTCTGTTAACATTAGTAAGGATTTTGGCTATTCGTTTCTTACTCCATGGTTAAAATTTGGTCTTTTAACAAGGTAAGTAATTACTAACAGTTTAATTCGTTGTTTTTATGAACACATTTTAGACTATATAGGGTGTTTTATGAGTCTGGAGCCATAGAAGTTATGTTGAACTTTGTTTATTCTTTTATAAGTAAAACATGGCGCAGAGTACAGGAAGGAATTTCGTGATGGGTCAGCGAAAAGTTGCCTAAAAGTTTAACGTGCTACATCCAGATTCCTATACGTGAGTGATGAAAATTCTGGATGCAGCCTGGGGTTTACTTCACACTGGCTAAGGACCCCATCTTTCGTGGCAAGTTATCCTACGGGAAAAAAAGAACAATTGCCTTGGGCTTTCACCAGCGGGGGACCTCAAACCAATGTCTTAAAAAAATCATTATTGTACTAAGAACATCAAAATTTAAATTTGGCGCATATCAGATAACCTTAGATTGCCCGTATGGTACAGACACCACCAAAACGTTTCCCTGAAGTAAAATGTCCAAATTCATCACTGTACATTGGGGTTCTTTAATTAAAATTTTTCTGGGTCATATGAAGCTAAAACGCGCCATACTCATTTTCAAATAACTAGAATTTGTTTTATTTTACTATGTTTTACATGTAAAAGAATAAGCAAAGATCAACAGAGTTGATCTTTATTCTCACATGTAACTTCTATGATTCCAGATTATAGGACCCAATGTATTTTTATTTATTTACATAATTTTTAATATTAATCTTTTTAACAAAAGTACCGGAGATAAATGGAAAATGAGACGTAAAATGTTGACTCCTGCATTTCATTTCCGTATCTTGGGTGATTTTTTACCTACTGTCGAAGGACAAGCCAAAATATTCGTAGAGAAACTAAATACAGCGTGCATGAAAGAATGGGTCGACATAATTCCTTTAGCTACTAGATGTGCTCTGGACATTATTTGTGGTTAGTTTATAATTTTACAACGATTTTCTATATTTTTAGCAAAGGAATTTGATTATTTATGCTTTACATAATTATTTCATTTCATTTTTTATTAGAAACAGCTATGGGTATTCATTTAGGATCTCAAAATAATACAAACTGTGAATACATCAGAGCATTGCACGAGTAAGTAGAGACAGTTTTTATGTTAACATAAATTATATTTTATAATTTAATATAGAAATTATGTATTTTTCTATACAGCGTTGGAGAAGTATTTCCTGACAGATTCATAAAACCTTGGATCTGGAATAACTTTATCTTTTTTAATTTAACGGAAAGAGGCAAAACTTTTAAGAAAAATACCGCAATCTTGGAAAATTTTACTAGAAGCGTAAGAAAAATTTCTACAAAATTCGATAAAACTTTTAATATTAAAATGTTTGGCAACTTAATTTTATTAAAATTTTATTTATTAATCAAATTAGGTCATAAGAAAAAGAAAAGCGGAAATGTTAAGCATGATAGAAAGTAATCAAGATGATAAAAACGAAGACGAATTCGGTAAGAAAAAACGTCAGCCATTTCTAGATCTTCTCCTCAGGCAACACATTAATTATGGAACTCTCAGCGAGGACGATATCTTAGAAGAAGTCGATTCGTTTATGTTTGCTGTACGTACAGTTCTTTATATACCCATTACTGTTGATTTTAACGCTGGAAATTTAATTAATTTGAAAAATATATTGTATAGGGTCACGATACAACTGCATTGGCAACAAGCTGGTCGTTGTACTTGCTCGGTCATCATCCAGAAATTCAACAAAGAGTACAAGAAGAAATAGACTTGGTCTTAGGAGACGATGACCGTCCTATGACTCTTGATGATCTGAGAGAATTAAAATATTTAGAATGTGTGGTTAAGGTAATTCCTTAAAGAATTTAAGGTTAAAAAAATAGTTACATAAATAGACAACAGATGGCAGCATATAAAATATTTTAGTTTCTTGTGTAAATCTGTGTTTTGTATTTATAAAATATCAAAGGCTGAATGATCGAGGTAGCTAGAGTGTCAGCTTAACGTTTTTGGGAAAAACCCCTAGAATTTTTAATGGTCAATCTATCCTTAATATATGTCGCGCGGCCACCCCCGTTGTGGGCTTGGCCAAAATCTCCACGGGCCTGGAAAAAGTCCTTAGTCCCTTAAGGCAAAAAGAACAAAAATATATCAAATAGAAGATATTTAACAATTTTTAAATGAAAATTATAGAAGAAATATATTTTAAAAAAAACCATAGATAATTTCAAGTAGTAATCTGTATTTTGATGATTACTTTATTTAAAAAATACTTTTCTGTACAGTTTTAACATGATAATTATGTCAGATCTTTGAAATCAATTGAAATTTTTTTACGTATTTCTTTACTTTATCTGGAAAATTATATATTTCTAGGAGGCTTTGAGGTTATTTCCT